ATGTTATTCACCCCCTGCAATGGCAGCTGTTAATTACTGTTTCATGAAAATCTCATTTCCTTTTGGAATCTTCTCAGTAGAAGCCAAGGGACAGGAGAACCCTGAGACCCAGATTTGATCCATGGTACCTAGTAACAATGAAGTTAGAAAGTCAGAAAACTAGCTTTGTCTCATGTGGTCCTCCTCCATGTTCTTCTTCCTAAATCCATTCAATGAGGCACATTTAATTCCACAGAGGGTGTATTATTACCACATTTGCTGCAGATGAGCAGGCTTCAAGCTTCCCTTCTCAGAGCATCTAGCGGGCTGCCTGTAGAGGAGCGGTGCCTCCGGGCACCTAGGTTCTTTGCCTTCTTTCTGCCTTGATTTACATCCAGTTCAACATCTGAGTGTCCCAAGGGAGAGTCAGACTGTCCATCTCATCCCCAGACTTAGTACCCAGCATTTATAATTCTCAACTCTCAACTGTTTGGGCACCCAGTTTTCAAGAAGGAATCCAAGTTCATCTCTCTAGGGTAACAAGTCCCTTAAAGAATCAGCTATAATCCTGCTGTCTAATCCCTTAGTTATAGGAACACAACTGCCTCTTCATCTTATTCACTTATTCATTTCAGCAAGGAACCTTCATATAACTTCATCCAAAAGAGCAGATCTAGTGGAGCTTGCTGCCCACTATCAAGAGAGATGATTTAGATGCTCTTCAAATCACTTTCCCTGCAGGTGGTTGCCAGCTCTGCCCACAGGAAAGATAAGCCCTGTTCAGATTCAATGATTTTATCAAGCCCTTTCTATTGTTTTTAAAGTTATCCTGCAGTTATTTCTGAAGTTGAACAAGATGGCAGAATATCAATGTAAAAGCCAAAAGTTAGATAATGCTTCTGTATAGCAGGTCACAATGTTTCTCGCTTTTCATCACTGGTCAGGGCTCCCTGTCCCCCCTCCCCGCCCCCCGCCCTGCCTCCCGCCAGACAACTATGCGATCAGAAACTTGGTGACTGGCAGCCTAGTGTTCACCCCTCTGAATAGAAGGCCCCTCATGAGATGTTCACTTGAGTGACCGTTACCATTCTAAACTGAGACATATCTTCTTTTCTGGAAGGCAAATTTGAGCCAAGCCATGCATTTCAGCTCCTAACTCTCAGTGCTTTTTCTCAAGTAGGATTTTTCAGAAGTGAAAAAAAAATGTTCCTGGTTGTGAAGTTGCTGCTTATTCCAAGTTTTGTCTTTTAAAATGTGTGTTTGGGAAATGGCCCTTTACATAGGTTAAAAATAAGCCTCACTGTTTTCTGTTATAAGCCAGTCTTCAGTATTCTCACTAACAAGCAGCATTCAAGGATGTTCATTGGACATCATCCAAGGTCCAGAGGGGAAGGATGAGGTAAAGAAGCATCTAAAGCTTCAACTGACCTTTCTTTATGCCTTTTGCTGGAACTGAGGGGACCACCTACCCATTCCTGATCGGGCACATGCTTCTGTTCATGAGCAGTAGGAGACTTCCCACCTCACTCACCAGCTGTGACTGTGCCTGACTCCCCACTTATGCCAGCAACCCCCACGGGGCTGCTGGGGGCAGAGTTGATGCCAGTTCTATCTGGGAGTGGGAAAATTCTCTTTCTCGGGGATTTGTTAAAGCATTTGATATCCAGAACTCAAAGTCCATGGCAGAAACTGAACTCCCCCTCGTCCACTTGCAACAGTCAGTGTCTTTACAGTCTCACCAGCATCTCCCCCACCCCTTCTGCTGCAGCCCAGGCCTGAGAGAAGCGTGCAGGATTCTTTTTTATATTACAAACCTCCTCAAAAGACCACCCACCGACAAGCTATTGAGCAACTTGTTTGCCTGTTTAAACCTTTTAGAAACAGATACATATATGTTGGTGATGTGGTCAGGCGTGAGGCACTTAGTAGGCCTTTACTGAATGAATTGAATAATTGAATTGGACAAAGGGACAAGTAGATCGACCGTCGTTTTCCACCTGTAAGTGAATCCCCTACAGGGGAGGAAGAGGTCCAGTCCCCTGGTTGCTGGGTGGGGCGAAAGGGGACACCAAAGCTGTAGTTTGAGTTTAGCAGTTACCCCATGGGAGCCTGCAAGAGGGCATCTCCCAAAGGATGCAGCGGGGATGCGGGATGGTCCCTCCTAGGAAGCCCTGTCTCAAAGCCACTAACGAGATAGACCAGTGTAGAGCAAAGCCTCTGCTGGAGTAATTCCTTCTCCCAGGTGTCCATCATTTGTTTTGTGTCACTGGTTCATGTGATGTGGGGTTTTGGTTCTATTTTATTATGTTTTCTTACTTGTTTTGCGTATTGCATTTTTACAATTTTTTAGTTTATTTTTCGAGATGAAAATGGATGTTCTACGTGAAAGCTGAGTTCTTTGTTTCTTTCTTTTGCCCGTGGCTGACTGCATGCTCTCTGTTGATGTCTTGTTCCTGGTTCTTGAAAATGACCATCTTGTCTGTGAAAGGAGGAGCTCCAGCAGGCTTGCTTGATCAGAAGAAAGGGAAGTTTGCTTGGTTTAGTCACTCCACAGAAACCCATGGTAATGTTCCCCTGTGCTCTGTGTGTGTGAATATGTGTTCCTCTCTGCTAGACTGGATGGGAGGGTATTTTTCTTGATGGCTTGTGATGCAGTGGTTATGTGTATATGTGTGTGTGTGTGTGTGTGTATATGTGTGTGTTTTTGTGAGGGGATAGCAATGTGTCTCACTCACAGCCCCTGCCTTGTCATCTCTTTGTATGTATAAAGTCAAAAGATACGATAATCAACAGCTATTCCATGATGGAATCTTCTCTTTGGTTGGTGCCAGCCAAGATTAAGGTCACTGTAAATGCCAATTTGGTACTGGTACAGGCAGTGCCTTGATTTAGAAGGCAATAGGGTCGTTCCTAATGCCCAGGCCTGCCTACTCCTAATTTGGTTGTCTTTCCATGCCTAGCACCACCTCCATCTCACTACTCCACACCTAAGGGGCTCTCTGAGAGGAAAGTGTCACAAAGTGAGATAGCTTTTTGTGTATAGCCAGGCTCTTTAAATAATGATGCCTGAAGAGTTAAAGGAGCCTCTGGTCAGAAATGGCTGGAGAGAGATGGATTGAAGACTGAAGACCCTTCTGTTATATTACTTATTCATGAATGGGCATGGACTAAGGAATTCTGGAAAGCTCTGCAAGTCCATCTGCCCAGCTCCCAGTACTAAAACCATCCCTAAGGTCATGTCTTGCTCATCACCTCCCTCAAACTTTAGGCTTCAAAGAGAATATAAATGCTGTAATATTCAACACTGTCCTTTGGCTGTTCGCCTTGCTGCAGTGAGGTTCCTCCAGCCTGATTCAGCTTTAAGAACCTCATTTGTCCTAGAGTTCAGAGAAAGGGATCGGTCAGCACAGAGACAGTCTGGCTGAGACTGGTGCAGAGATTCCTGACACTCTGCTCCAGACCAAGTCCCAAACACTGACTTTGGCATCTGCCCCTTCCTAGACCTCACCTTCCTGTCCTGTGAGGTGAAAGGGACAAGGTAGATCTAGGTAACATCTAAAGTCCCATCCAGCTCTAGACATCTTTAAAATGGCATCTAGATTTCCTGTTACCCGACTTTGTTGAAAATGAGTCCTAAGGTGGAGAGGTCTCTCATATATGACAGTCAAACACAGGATAAGTCATGGGCTTTCTCTTTGTATCTTCACTGTTCTTGAAATGAGTCCTCTCACCTGCCCATCTTGTGTTCATCCACAAGAGACAAAACTGGGAAAAATCCCCATTCAGAAACATTATCCAGCAGAAGTCTTTCCCTGGGCTGTGGTGGCTCCATGGGGACCTGTCCCACATCATCTGATGCCACACCCTCACTAACTGCAGGTTCTTTGGCTGCTGTGGGCTATTGATTTCTCTCCACACAAGGAGTTGTGTTCGGCAAGGAGAGTTGAACCAGGACCCATGCTTGGGATGGCTACCCTAGTGAACAAGGGTTGGCGCAAATAAGGAACTCTTTGATGTGTCATATTAAAAGGGTGGAAAAGAATTCTCTTGAGTTAAATTTTTATTTGAAATCAAAAAACAACAATAAAAGAAATGGCTTCTTCTAAGCCTTCAGATGGGTTCCAAGGAAAAAACTCTTGCTGGTCTGGAAACGCAGCCCCTGCCACCTTGGGTAGACACGGGAGATGGATGGGAGGGTTGGCACTAGTAGAAGTAGGTGCTTCATTCCCAAGTCAGCCTGTTGAGGCAGGCATCTCAAGGTTGCTGGAAGGGGAGATTGCATCCCTGAAGTCTATCTTCAAGCCACACGTAAACCTGGTTGGATGGATTCTCCCCTCCTGAGGCCTGCAGTGCTAGTTTGAACCTCAGTGCCTGATTCTGCTCGAGCTCTCTCAGTCAGGCCCTGTCCTAGACATAACAGACCTAGGCCCCCATGTGCACATCAGGAAAGGCCTTCCTCCAAATCTGGTTCGTAGTTCATGCAGGCAGCAGAAATGCCCTTTCTACAAATGAGCTGGCCTCTCAGTTTGGGAATGGAGCACCTTAGAATTGGTGGGTAGAACAAATAAGGGAAATAAAATGTTTTTGGGAAAGCTCTCCTTTTTATGGCAAGTATTAGATACAAATGGAAAAGCTCGTACATCCTCTCTGAGGGCAGAGAGTTGAGGGTAAAGAAGGGTTCAATGGTGAGTGTTCTCAGGATGGCTCCTATAAGGTAAATGATCTTATCAACAGTTTTTCTTCCACGTCCCAGTAGTTTAGAGTGCCCGCCATAGCACAGCTTACCCTAGATGAGCAGCCGGCATGTCACTCACTCACAGAAACCCCGCCCCTGGCCAGGGAAGTGTCAGGGCCTCAGCCTGCTCCCAGCAGCACCCCTACCCCTCACCAGCAGGTGCTGCTGGCTCCCCTCCTCCCAACAGCGCTCCTCCTGGGATTGGGTGTACTACAGACTAATGCTCTTCTCTCCCCATCTTCTCCCTGCTCTCATGCCTTGTTCTGCATCCCTTTGATTCTTGCAGTGAGCATGCCCACAAGTGAGACGGAGTCTGTCAACACTGAGAACGTGGCTGGTGGTGACATCGAAGGAGAAAACTGTGGGGCCAGGCTGGCGTGAGTAGGCACGGCGAGCCCGGGGCCTGGGCTTTCCTGGGGGCACGGGCAGGGAAGCTGCTCCTGAAGTCATAATGGGGTGGCTCCTCACTGGGGTGGGCAGAGTTCAGAGCGCAGCAAGGAACAGAACCCTGTGTGGGGGGCGGAGGGTGCTGAGGTGACCACAGCCTCTAGGTAGTGGTAGTGGCTCTTAAATTGAGATTGCTCCTCAATTGTGAGGCTCCAGCCCTTGGATCTTGAGCCCCTTTCTATCATAGCAGAGAAATACAGAGAGTATGTGTGTGGGGTTGAGGGTGGCTCTGAAGCTTTTTTCTTCCCAGCCCCTCCCACCTCCTTTCACAAGAGATGGCTGTGATAGGGCGCCTGGGTCCTGCTAACCGCCCTTTCCATTCTGATAAAAGTTATCTGGAGGGAAGGCAAAGAAATAAGAAAATACACTAGAAGATGATAAACATGTTGGTTCTTACCTGCATCTCTAAGTTATCCATCCGGTGAATGGAAGCAGGTGCCTGAAATGCAAACCTGAGTTAACAAATTCACCTGTGCCTAGCTGAGACTCTGCTGACTCCTCTAACATAAGGCCCAGTCCAGATGGTCAAGACTTTCCTTTCCCAGGCCCTGGCTTTGATGAGCTGACTTGGGCCTGGGATGGAGCCAGGCATGAGGAGCAACAGTCCACACATGGGTTATCACAATCAGCTAGCTTAGTTCAGCCTTGAAAATGGAAATGAGCAGTCAGTCCCTGGGAAATGTTCCCCTAAAAGAAAAAAACAAAACAACAACAACACAACGGTGGGTGGGGGATGGTCTACCTGCTAAAAATAAACCTAGAGCATGGGGCCTCCTCCTGGACAAATCAGGTTCCACTTTTGGAAGCATGAGAACTGTAAACTCACCCGGACACCAAAAGGCACTGCAAAGAGCAGGCTCTGAGAAGGACCAGTCTCAAATAAAATGAGTTTCTAAATCATTCCATCAGAAGAACAGCATCTTATCTCACCCTTCCTCTCCGAAATGACTCCACAGTCTGGGCAAACCTAACCCTTTTTAAAAGGCTAGCTGAGTCTAAACATAAGCACGCCAGCCTTAAGAATGGCCTCCGAGCAAAGGAGAAGGGAATCATGACTTAGGAACGGACCAGCTCTTGCAACCTCTGTTTCCAGGGTTCGCAGGCCTTCAGAATCACTCACTCTGACAGTGGCACCAGGGAGTCTGCACTGCAGGTTTCTCAGCATTGTCGGGAGGCAGTTATTGTCAAATGTTGTTAAAATACAGAGCTAATTACATTTGAAGGAGCAGTCCAAGCCTTATTTCCCTTCTCTTCTTTTGGAACCACACAAAACAAGCAATTGAGTTTCTAAAGTGGGCCCCAGTCAGCTACACTAGGGACACGCAGATAACAGGCCTTAAGAGTCTGTACGTTCTAGGCCTTTCTGTGATCCTGACCCCAAGGAGGGTTGGAGAGAAAATGATTGAGGACCCTGCACCTCTAGCTTTTGGGCATGGCTCAAGTCACAGACCAGGAGGGACTGGGGAGCTGGCACCAGGAAGGACGTTGCTGGAGAGTGCGTTTCAGGAGAGCAGGAGGCTCTGTTGGAAGAATGTGATTGTGCCCCACAGAGAGAAGCTGGCAGTCTCTCTCATGTGTCTGTCATTGCTTGAGGACACACTCTGCAGGCTCCAAGGGCTCTGTGGAAATGGCCCCCATTATTCCCATGAATGTCCACATTTATAGACCTGCACTGTACATGTAAGATACGTGGTCACAGTGCCAGAATTACAATGTCTGCTTAATAAATTATGGTCTTTGCCCATCTCCCACCCACCACCTGCCCCACCGCACAGACAATGATGGGATGAGACGGCCACCATTCCTGGTGGGAGAGGCAGCAGGGGAACAGGCTGGGGGCTGAGCGTGGGTGTGTGGTGAGGAGACAGTGCAAGGCTAGGTGAGTGGTAAGTAAGATGAGGTCTGGGTCCAGGTAAGGATTTATATGAAGTGAGAGGCCAGGATGAAGATGGTTCCTGAGGCGGGCAGGAAGAGAGAAAGGAACTACAATGTGATATTTGGGGGCAGGAGACAGGTGGGAAGACAGGTGATGCAGAAGGAGGAGCCATCAAAGTTTGGAGGCAGAACATAAGCTTGCTGAAATGCCAGCTGAGGCAGGGCTGACCCGAGGGACTTGCAGGGATCACACAGCAAGCCGTTAAGGCCCAAGGTCCAGCTGTGAGCAGAGATGGAGTCCCATGTTTGAGGGTGTCAGTATAACAACTATTCATGAGGTCATAGAACAAGGCTTGTTCACAGAGTAATGGAGGGACACGGACACACAGAAGTAAGAATCAGAACAAGTAAATGAAAGAGGCAAAGAGGTCCAGGGGAACTGGCAGCAGCACTCACTTGGAAACCACAGGAGGAAGAATTTCAAGACACAGCTCTCTGTTTGTATACTCGGTCAGTCGTGTGCCCAGCTTGGAGCTAGGCCAAGGAGGTGCCGTAGCAGCAGAGCAAATTGACACCCACACTAGAGCTCACAGTCTGGTGTGAAACTGTCATTCATAAGTAAATAAGTCATTAAAATTGGGGTGAGTGTTAAGAAGAAAAAGTAACTGTAATGTGGGGTTAATGACCCAGGGAGGGACCTGGTTTAGACTGGCAGTTTAGGACTGGCAGGTTTATTCCTATGAAGAAATAAAACTTCAGCTGGGAACTGAAGGGTTGAGCCTACATCACAGAGGTGAAGAGTAAGGAAGAATGTTCCAATCAGAGGCAGCTGCGTTTCAAGGCCCTTGAGCAGAAGAATGGAGAGAAGGCCAGTTTGGCCAGTGTGACATGAGTGGAGGCTGGGGAGCCAAGGTTGGAGGCGGAGCAGGGCCTGGAAGAGCCCTTGACGATCTTGGTCTTGTCATAGGACTCTAAGAAGTAATGGAATGTGGAGCTGGTTGATTCAGTTCATTTTGCATTCTCGGTGGATCACTTTGAACTTAAAAGAATGAGAAGGAATGAGATCAGGAGGGAAGCAGGCTCCCAGGGAAGCAGCCTCAGAGCAGCCACCAAGATGGGAGATGATGCTGGCTCAGGCTGCAGTCCTGGGCAAAGACGGAGCAGAGGGGCTGGGCTCTGTGTGGTCTGGAGCTGTACGCTAAAGACTTGGCAGTAGGAGCTGGAGTCACAGCTAAGGAGAGGGTGTGGGAATGAGCCAGCACAAGCGGGGCCACAGGAGGGAGAGAGGCAAATAGGAGCATGGAAAGAAGAGGCTTGCTTTCATCAGAGTAAAGACTGGGGTGATCTGTAAGGCAAAAAAGAAGTCTGTGCAAAGGCTCCGGAATGGAAATGAGGGCTTCTGGGGGATGAAACTGCTTAAGAAGCAGGGGAGCTGACTTCAAGGACAGAGTTTGAGGCTCTGGAATCACACAGGAAGAAGGCGCTCCTTTACCTCTGGGACTAATTGGAAATGGAAAAAGAGGCCTGGCATGAGGAGTCCTAATGTCTAGTGCTGATCAATCCTCCAAAGGACTTGCATTCCCTCTCTCAGTCTGGTGCTCCGGGAAAGGAAGGTGCTCTCCGCGGAGGCCTAGGGCTCTTGGAACCACCCATGGGGCAGCTACCGAAGGAGACCATTTTCACCTCTTTTACACATTGGGCTTCCATGTAAGATTTCATATGAGTAAAGCATTCTATCACTTGATAAATTGCAAACCATAGATCCAGGTGGTACGTAAGGGTCCTTCTCAGCTCTCAGAGCCTACAGTTCTCTGAAGAAGACAGAATCAGAAACAGGCTCTGCTGAAAAGAGTCCATGATGGGAGTCACACCACATGATCTGCCATCTCATCACAGAAAGCGAGGCTTAGCTGTCCTAGGAACCTGAAGGACAGACAGTACAGGAGATTCAAACTAGTGAGTCACCAAACTAGTGAAGCCACAGATTGCTGAGCAGTGCTGAAGCCACACTGGAGACTGATACCGTGAATGTGGAGTCAGCCTGCAGAACAATTCAACATACTTTTTTGGCAGGCTCTGTCGCCTGGAAGCACTAAAAACAGACAGTGGTGTGAACCAGGTTGGGGTTTGCCAAGTAGGCCCAACAGAAGGCCCAGGGAGCATGGGAGCCTGTGTGGCGTGGAGGGCAACACGAACGTGACCGTGAGGCCAGGCTGAGAACTGGAAGTCAGGTCTGGCATTGGCCTGCGAGCCCGGGCAGAGTGTGAGTGATTGGGAAGCCCCAGTGAAGACGACTGGGTTCGGTAAAGGAGCAGGAGGGATGATGGGGGAGACTCTGGCCAGAGATGTGGAACAACTGAGTCAGCACCTAGTAGCTGAAGCAGTCTTCTGCAATGTCAGGGGCCTGGGTTTGACCTTCTAGCAATAACAGCTGGGGGTGGTGTTGCCGTTGTGGAGTCTAGGAGGTTTAGTCAGACACGTGTCAACCTGGACGGTGACTTCGATGCCACCTGATTTATGTTAAAGGCAGATTGGGACAATTCACGCAAATGCTACTTTCCATAGCAGGTAATAAACAGGCAGTGCTCATTCCTCTAGGAAGGGGAGAGAAGCTGAACATATAAATAGCTCCCAAGAAGTTCAAATATTTGTCAAATAATGATAAATGCAAATTGAATAACTAAGCAAAGCAAAAAAGTTTCGGGTTTTTCTCTAATTTTGAACCTTAATATCAAAGAAAATCATGGTTTCCTAGAAAATTTGTCCTGGAGGCCTGGGCAGAGAAAATATATTGGATTGGGTGAAGTCCAAGTCCAACCCAGTGGAACTATTCTGATGCTCTTATGTGTTAAACACTAACTTTCTCCACCTCCCTGCTCTTTAAGAACACATTTATTGAGAAAGTAGAATAGAATAGAATAGAATAGAATAGAATAGAATAGAATAGAATAGAATAGAATAGAATAGAATAATGAAGAGAAAAGCCTATAAGCCTGAGCAAGCTGTGCCTGCCCCACTGGGGTTTGCAGAAGCTGGAAGCCTCGGCTGTTCAGCCGGAGGAAGCACTTACCATGTGTGGAAGAGCCCCGGGTGCGGAGCGGTGCCATGACACAAGGCGCCCACCTGCTCCGCAGCTTGCTGACTCACACAAGGGACCAACATGACCAGCTTTCCAAACCCTGAGCTGGTGGTTGCCTCCCAGGAGGTAAAATGCTAGAGAGCAATGGGGTCCTCTGTTTTAATGAAGTGAAATTCCTGTACAGGGAGAATGAAGAATCAGGCACTTGAGCTTTACAAGACTTCTAACCTCAGCTCTCCAAGGACTTGGGTTTTCCTTTGCCTCCAGACACGTGCCACTTCAACACCCCCCCACCCCCACCGCCCTTCTCAAGTAGGGATGCTTAAGTAATATGGTACTTAAAAAAGGGATGAATGTTTTGGACTCAGAAAGCCTAAAATTAAGCTCACAATCCCCTGAGACTAGCAACAACAACAAAAATCAGTCTTCAAGGGTGATATCCAGGGTTATACATCAGGACTTGTAACTAAGTGGAAAAGGAAGTTCTGCTCCATTTCCTCCTCTTTAGAACGTGCCATAATGCCCAATAAGGGCCCATAGCTGATGATGACACTTAAACTCAGCCCTGGTCCTCATTTCAGTCACCTTCACCCTGATCCTTCCCTGTGCCCACCTAGCAGAGTCATTTCCTTGGGAGATATGAACATGCAGATTTCAGTTTCCTCATGTGGTGATTTTAAAGGACTGACTTTTCTTATGACTCACCTGGACTGAGAGAGAGAGCCTCATGGGGAAGGGCCAGTGGTCCACCTGTAGGGCCCCTCAGAGAGAGTCATTGAGACATTTCTGAGAGAAGGCCTGGCCAGGCCTTTGCTTAGTTATCCAATTTGCATTTATCATTTCTGAGAGGGGCCGGGCCAGGCTCTGCAGACAGAGTCACAGAGATCATGATCATCCACATTGGCTTATGTTCATAGTCCGCAGTGTGAACTGCCCCAGAGCAAGCCCAGGGCAGACCCGGAAGGTGCCATGCTCAGCACGGCCCTGCTGCAGAGCGGAGCACCCTGACCCCACCCCCCCCACCACCCAATTAACACCTGGAAAACATTTGTTTCCCCATTAAACTGTGGCTCTAAATAAAATGCTGCCCTAGCTCCCCGTCCTCCTCCCACACGCTTTGTTAACATGTGATTAAACCCTCCAGCCCTGGCAGGCAGTCTTTGGAGGCGGGAAAAGGTTATTAGCTAACGGTTCCGAGCAGTAAAGGCACTTGGCTCAGATTCTCAGTGCCCCAGAGATATAATTATCTCATGCTCGATGGCTTTACCACCTGTCACATCTTCTGGTTTAATTTTTTTTAATAAAAAACAATGAGAGGGGTTGTTTTCTTGCTATGCGACAGAGCTCACTTTGTGCTGAGCTGGGATGACACAGGCTCGCAGCAGCTGCCTCCCAAGTCCCTGTTCCTGTTTTCTCTCAGCATCTCTTAGTCTCTCTACTGCTGTCTCCATCCCTTTTTCTACTTCTGACTTGTATTCTGCACCTTTCTGCGCATCCACCTGCAATCTCTGCAGTGCTTCCTCCCTCCACACCAAAGCCTTCTGACACATGGCCTTCAGTTTTTTGTCTCATGTGCTTGCACTGTCCCCTCTCTCTCTATCTCCATCTGTTTATTTCCCTTCCTTCCTCTTTCCTTCCCTCCCTCTTCTCCCAACCTGCCTCTCTCCAGCCTCCCCTGGACTCTCCTATGTGAACTTGGTTGTCTCAGGGCCTCCTTGAAGGTTTTACCTTTCAGTGGACCATCCCCCCAACAGTGACCTTCACGTCCACCACCAGCACACCTGCCCTGTGCTCCTGTCCCAAAGTCCCCCAGGGTCTTGAGGTTGCCGCATGACTGTCAGCATGCTGGATTTCTCCCCAGGGCCCATGGTTGTTTCTTTAGGCCCAGTTTGCTGCCCTCGGGCAGACAGTAGTAGCCTTTCAGTTTCCTGCTGGCTCCTGTTGCTCATCTTCACCTCATACCAAGCGTTGACCATGCTCCTGCTCAGACAGCACTGGGGTCTGTGCTGATGGGTTTCTGCCTGTGGCTTCTGGCTGGTGGGATCCAGGCCTCTGCATCCTCTATAGCTCCTCTTAAGGTTCAGCACTCCCAATATGCTGCCTAACCTGACCTCATGGAACCTCATGGTGGACACTGATCTTCAAAACGCAGGCTCTCCGTCTCCACTTAGAAGACACTAGATTTGTAGATTTGTCAGCAGGGCGAACCCTCAGTCTTTACATTCAAATGCACAAACACACCAGAAGATGCTGACAAACAGGGTTCTCTCTCTCCAGAGTTGTTCTAAGTCACACTACACACCCCTCCAGTGCCCATATATAACCAACAGGGGACATCAAACTTCTCTGGCATTGCTGAACATCTTTGAAATAGAAGAAAATGCACGTGTCGTTTGCTAATGTCTCCTTTTCCTCTTTCAGCCACCGGATCTCCAAGTCAAAGTTCAGGTGAGTGAGATACATGCTGCTCTTCTTGTCTCTTGCCCATCAGCTCTATCTCAGCTACCCCACCAGGTAGGCGGGAGGGTTAGCGGTGTTCTTCAAAGAGGGTAACTGCTCTCTTTTCTATGGCTCTCAAGAAGTTTTTTGGATCACATCAAGCAAATAATCTAGGGAGTGATATTTGTTGAATTATCTTTGTCAGTCTTTTTGGTAGCACATCCCAAGGCTATGAGACCTAGTGTGTCTCCCTACCTTATGAGGTAAAGTCCAGGTGAAATAAATGTGATGTGGATGCCCGCTACTGGTCCTGACTACTTCATGTTCATGGACACAGTGAAATATGAACTTTAAGGATTATGGAAAACACCCAGGATCTCCACACTGCTGGACTTAAGAACCTTCCACAGCAGCTGTGGTCTTCAGCCTGCTCTGCCTTTCTGCCTCACCTCCTACACTCCCCTGCACATATCTGTGGTTCCAGCCGCATGGAACTTGCATTTACCAAATGTTCCCTGTCCTGTTGTATATCAGGGCCTTTGCCCGGAGCCTTCTACCTGAATCACTGTGTCCCCATGTCTTCATCTGAAGAACTCAGATTTTGTTAAGAACCTCAGATGTTACCACACCAATGACATCTGCAAACTCCCCAGGGGAAGTTACTCACCTCCCTCTGATTCCCATAGTGCTTTGCTCATACTGCTATCATAGCACTTACCATACGACATACCAATTATTGTCTCACAAGCCTGTTTCCCTCAGTAGACTCTGCATGCCCCAGAGATATTACTTCGAGAGAGTCTAGCTAAGTGCCTGGCCAGTGGTAGGCTCTTTGTACATACGTGTGTTGAGTGGATGAATGGATGGATATGTGGAGATGTGCATTTACTCCCATAAAGCTTGTACACACAAAAAAACTCAATGGCTTACGTTTTCTAATTGATCTATTCTTGCTTCTCTGGCCTCACCTTCTATGCAACTGGAGCATAAATAACTCTGAATTTTAGTCGAACTGGGTAAATGTAACCCAATGCTGTATTTTAAATAGTCCCTTAAGGTAAAAGTATTCAGTCTCTCATATTTCCTCTTTCCCAGCTCCTTTCCAGCCTGGAATCTGGATGCATGGGGGCAGGGGACTTCAAAACCCTGGGAAGTAAACAGGCTTGGTGAGGCCAGGTCCTAGAATGCCCCCGAGTCCTCTGCTTATCTCTGCTGTGCGGTGGCTAGCCTGAGCTACTCTCTGAACTGCTTGCTGCTGAGGTGCAGCAGGTCCATCTGGTTTGGGCATCTGCCACTGGAACCTATGCCCCTCCCCCTATATTTGCATCTGATCTTGAAATCTCCCTCTCTGTTCTTTGACCCCCAAGCTCTGGGGGTCCACTGACACTGGTGCCTCCACACGCCACATGAGTGCACAGACCCCCTTCCAGGTCCCTCACACTCCCTGAACGAGCTGTGGGGAACCTGGAACACTAGGCAGGCTGCCTGCCTGCCTGCCTGTGTCCCGTCACTGTCTCTGCTCCAGCCTAGACAGAGCTCCAAGCCAACATCTGGCATTCTCCCTGGGTTCTTCAGACCCTCTATACTGTACCTCGTAGAGGCTACCACCTGGCTCCACCGCCCCCGGGCCTCCCCAGGACTACTGTGTGTTTCTAAAGCAGGCTTCTTGCAGCTCTTCAGGCTGGACACCCAGGACTCTGGTGTCTGACTTCCCCCTCTACTTCTGACGCTTCTTTCCCCCGTACTTCCACGGGAACTGAAAAGCGCAGGCCTTTCTCTCTTTCCTCTTTCTCTTAAGACCTGCTTTGCATAAAACATCTAGGGCCAAGTAAACCAGTCCTCACTGTTATTACATGAAAGAGAGCCCTAGGAACATAAATGTCCTTTTCCTCACAATAATAATGCTTCGATTTTGCTGCTTTATCTCCCATATCTGGGGATAGCTGGATCATAACAGGGACTGAATAAACGCAGGATGAGCAAAAGTAGATTTATAGTTGTTTGTATGGAAAATAATACAATAATTAATAAACAATAATACAAGAATAAACTCTGTTTTGCATACTCACAACTATAAACTTACTTTTGCCCATCCCTTGTTGAGTGAATGAATGAATGAATGGTCTTGACACATACTCAAACAAAATATCTAATTTGACAGCAAAGCTGAGAAAGCGTTTTGTGCTTCTGATAATTCCAAAGCCCCCACACATAGACTAAGAGTAAAGGGACAAAAATACAGTTGAAAATATTTCCAAAATATCTTTCTCATTACATGCAAATGAGCGAACCATAAATGAACAAATGAATGAGTTAATGAATGAATCAACATGGTCTGGAGGATGGAAGAGAAGTTGCATATTTATATGGACTCTGTGTAATGAGAGATTACTCAGGAGGCTCTGGGAAAAATTTTTATCCAGTGATCTGTGATGTAGCCTGTACTTTTGAAAAAGAGGAAAGGAACAGTGGTCCCCTAAACGTCTGACTCTGCTGAGCTTTGAAGCTTGGCAAGACCTGCTATATACTTAACCTCCTGTATACCAGCTTTTTGACTTCTGGGACGGGTTTCTCCCTCTGCAGCTTCTATTCAAGATACAAGGGAAATGCAGTGGGGAGATTTTGTATTCCCAAAAGACTTATCACTAGTAGGTTGGCACTATCATTGAACACATTTTCAGATGAGGCTACTGAGGCTGAGAGAGGCTGGGACACATGGCTCCTATATGGCCCCGTCAGTACCCACACCCAGGCCCCATGCTGCTAATTACCGTGCTGTCGTACTGATAAGGTCTGTTTCTGCTTAGCTCTGGTATTCTGGACTGGAGGTGCATAGCTCTACGGCAGTTCTGTTGCATGGAAATACAATATGAGCCACACATGCTCTCCAGTAGTTATGGTAAAAAGTAAAAAGAAACAGGTGAAATTAATCTTAATATAATTAATTTAACCTGCTGTTTCTAAAACATCATTTCAACTTGTAATTAACATAAAAATTATTGAGATATTTTACGTGTAGTTTTTTTATGCTAAGTCTTTGACATCCATTGTGTATTTCAGACTTATTTCATGTCTCATTTGGAGTGGCCATATTTCAATTGCTCAATAGCCACATGTGGCTAGTGGCTACTGCACCAGACAGTGTGGCCATAAAGGATCTGAGCAGGTAGCACATGGCGGCCTTCGAGTCTAGGTTCTTTGGCCCATGGATGGTGTCTGTCTAGGAATATCAAAGGCTGTCAATGAATTTAAAATGCCATTAAAATTACCAGATTAGACCAGGGGCAGTTTTTGTGTGATGCTAAGGTTTCCGCTGTGGGTGCAAGAAAAATGTGTCCTCGCACTTTCTCATGTCTGATTGTGGCAGCTGAGATTGAATGGGAGAACACAGGAGAAAGGCAAGGTTAGTTAATACGGGGGAAGAGGGGAAAGGAGAGAGAATTTTTCCAACTCAGAAATAACCTTGAGAAGAGTGAAGAGTTTGATTTATTTCTCCCTCCCAAAAGAATCTAAAATTTGAATTTAAAAAGAAATCAAAGTATTCCTGATGATTTACTCAGTTTAACAATGGCAAATAACAGAATTTGAGCTTCAAAGTGGCCTATTCTATTTACAAAACTGAATGATAAAAAATTACAGTTTATTTAAAAGAAATATTAGAACAGAGATTTTAGGGAAAATTCTGCAAATTAATGACATAATATTAGGAATTTGTTACAATAAGGAATTTTGCAACATTTGGGGCTTACAGTTCAGAATAGGATTTAAATAGGGAACAAATGATTCAAAAAGTATTATGCAACTTGAAGGGATTATTTAGGTAACCTGTTGAGGTTTCCAGATCTCTATTTTACAGAGTTCTGAAGCAGATCCCACGGGATTCTAAAATTTTGGAGGGCTCTCTTGCCCTGTATTCAATTAAATGTGCCTTCAAGGTTCCCTTTACTTCTGCTATCCCATAAGCAACAAGGCCCCCAGATTTGCCCCAGTCTCTAATAGTCCATGTTTATTATGTGTGTGTGTGTGTATGTATTTGTTATTTTTTTAATCTGCACCCAAGGACATGCTTATTGATTTGGAAGAGGAAGAGAGGGAGAAAGAGAGTGAGAGAAACATCGAAGTGAGAGAGAAACATTGATTGGTTGCCTTTCTTATACAGCCCTGTCTGGCGACCACACCACAGCCCAGGCATGTGTCCTGTCTGGAAATCGAACCCACAACGGTGTGCAGGACAAAGCCCAACCAACTGAGCCACACTGGCCAGGGCTCTATAGTCCATTTTTAAGTTACTTATGTGTAAAATAATTAAACTTAATGATTTTCTGTGTTGCTTGTTCTCAATTCCGTAGCCACTAGAAAGAGCCTGAAGTGTCCAATACTATTCTAGGTGACTGTCAAAAGTTCTATGCCAACCAAACTATTTTAGGAGCACTGCTCTCTCCTCATACCCACCTTCGTCCCTGAATCACAGGAGGCTGGAGGCTCTCAAAATGTGTCTCCAAATCTTCATAGTTTGTCTCTGCTGCTCTGCCAGTATGTCAGCAAGTGTCCTCACTGAGTGAGATGGACTGCACTGTCCTGTGGGTCCACAACAAAGTGCAAGACACAGTCCCTTTCCCTCAAGGATCTTATGATCTCATTGCAGACCCATCCAGTAAAGAATAACTGGGAAGCCCTTTCCTCTGAGAAACCTTTTCTTGCTCCTCCATGACCAGCTAGGACGCCCTCTGATGTGCTCTGCCAAGCCCACCTTGGCACCAAGCATGCTCTTGGACTGCTCACTTAGTGGTCCGTATCACCCACATGAGTTTCATGCAGACAAGGCTGTGTCAAGCATGTTAACTGTTGAATATCTAGCACTTAGCCTCTGGTAGGTGTTTAGAAAGTATCTCTTTTATATATAACTAAAATGAATAATGCAGGCAATGGGTATGACTGGAGGTCTGAGTCTGGGGAGCCGAGAAAAGTGCACTGTGGAGAAGCTGGAATGGACAGGACATAGAAGGGGGAGGTCCTGGGCATTGGAGGGGCAGTCCCTGTAGGCGGAAAGGCAAGAGCAAGGCCTAGTATTGGAAAGAGGTAAGAGGACCTGGGGTGAGTGAGGAGAAATTGCCTATCAAATGCAGCGATGTAGGAGAAGTGGGTTAGACACATTCATAGCCATCCTTCTCTCCTATGTCTTCATATGGAAAGTTCTATTTCTAGAGTAAGTGACTTTTCCAGTTAGTGTGAAGGAAATGTGAACAGCAGGCACGTTTCTCCTCCCTGTTTTATCATTTAATTTCTATATCCTCTGTGCATATGTAAACACAAATAAATTTACACATTCTAATAAACCATTACATTTATTATACAGTAGGAAGCGTTGCCAGGAAACCAGCTGTCAAGCAAAGCTATATTTTGAAGAGTGGGAGGTGTATAATTATCTTTAAATACTTTCTCGGGGTAGTAATTACCCCCACCCCCACCCCAGCTCAAATCCATGTGACTCTCCTGAATGGCTGTGCACAGGAACAGCACGACGTAGGAGTCCTGCCCCATCTGTGACAGCCACTCCTTCAGGGGTTCGTGCTGAGCCGTTCCAGACCGCAGGGACAGGCCTGACCACGCCACACCCTGCAGCCACTACCCTAGACTTGGGGGAAGAGGAGCTTAATCTAAGTTCTCGACATTAAACTGACTCCAAGTCGGCTCCTACATACTGTAAAAGGAGGCAAACTTGATTCCTTTGGACTCCGAATGACAAGTGTTAGTGATTTCTGTAACATGGCATTGTATCTATTTAAAACCTTTTTTGAAACTACAGTGTAAACAAGTTAAGGTCAGTTATGAGTTCTGACCTTAACTTAATTCATTTTTCAGGGTAAAAAATGGTGTCACCAAATTTCCCTACAGTGTTAATAACCACAATAACAGGAAAGAAGCAGAGTCCTGCCCTGGTGAGATAAGACTCCTTAGTGTGGAGGTCTGGCCACCTCCAGAAGTCACTGCTCACTAGGAACCAGCCACCTGGGACTCTTGTCCCCTTCCTCTACCCCTCCCCCAACCCTCTCATACCCTCACTCTAGCGCAGGGCAGTACTGTGGAGGATGTAAGCCTCCCTAAGTGCATTGGAAGCTCTCATTTTCTGACCCCGAGGCATTTCTTTTCCGTGTAGTGACTTTCCCCCAGGTAGCAGATAGGTGTCCCCTACCAAGGTTTGGGGCTCACTGGAGAGGGCATTCTAACACCCACAGAGATACAGGGGTCAGAGCAGAACACCACCCAATTAACCCTTCCCTGCCCTGCAAGCCCAACAGGAAGCTTTCCCTGCAGTTCTGAGGAAGCCACACCCTCCAAAGATGTAGTCCTCACTTCTCTAATCGCATTATAAATTTTAACTAAGGTTTGGTAACAGGATTTTCCATGGACAGTAGGTAGAAATATAAATGAAGTCAGGCCACCCCAGAAAGCAATGTGGGATGACTGAAGGGCTCCATAAACAGCAGAGGTCTACCTGTCTGGAGACCTAGAGTACAGATATGAATACAGATGTTCATGGGCAATTGCTCCAAGATTCTGCTTGGCCTCCCGCCCCCCGCCCCCCAACCTATGCCTTCTTTATTACCCAACCGTTCTCTATTCCTCCCTCTCTTCAGCTGCCTGGTGCATCTCTCTACAAAGGACTTGCCAGCACCTGAAATGTATTTCCTGAGCTGAGTGTCCGATGTTCTCCTCAGAGCAACCTCCCTGCCCAGAGTACCGCTTCTCCTTATCTGCGCCTGTACTGGTTAGGCAGGCCACCCTTCCAAATCACCCCAACTAGAAATTTGGGTTGTCCCTTCCATACCCTTCTCTCTCACCCTGCACATCCGAAGGCCTATTGATTTCGCCTCCAAAATTGGTGTCAACTTAGTGTCCTTTTTTCCGTGCATAAGACTACTGCCTTCATCCTCTTCAACCTGGATGGCTAACAGAGCATCCTTCATCCCGCTCCTCTTCTAGAAGTTGACAGAGTGGTTGTTTTTGTTAGTTTTTTGGTTTTCTAAAATCACATCTAATCACGCCGTTCATTCTCCCTGTCACAGTCCTCAGCTCGGCCCCTCATCTCCCTCCCAAGCACGGCTGTAACGTCCCTACCCTTCTCTCCTTTGCACAGTATGGGCACTTGTTAAATGTTTGGTCAATACAATTACCAAATATGGCTGTGTATTTTTTCCACATCATGAGGATGAAATTAGGGATAAATAAGCTTTAAACCCCTCCAACACAGCATTATAAAATGTGTCCATTTTCTTGAGATCATCCAGCTTAATTGTTCTCAGCCATGATTGCACGCTAGAGTCACCTACAGGACTTTAAAAAATACCACTGGGTTTTTCGGATTTTCTTTCGTTTATTTTGCTATTTAAAAAGTATCTAGCCCCCCCCCCCCCAAAAAAAATCAGATTCAATTCGTTTGGGCTTAGGACTTGGTTTTAGGTGGGGTGTCTTGGTTATCTTGCACACCCTTCCCAGGTAATGCTATGTATAGCCAGGTGTGAGAATCACTGACAACAGTCCCTAACTGAGAGACCATGGGAACATTCTGTGGACCAGGCTGGGCTTCACGGGGTCATGTGCTGCATGAACTTGTATGTAGAGGTGTGCGTATGTGTGGGTGCCCTCATTTTTCTGAACAGAAGCTCTAAATATTCATCAGACACTCAACACATACTGTACCCCCAAAAAGCAAAGAACCTCTGGTCCAGACTCAGCCCTTACACTTTACAGATGAGTCAGTATAAAGTAAGGGCGGGAGATGGGGGGCTGGGAGAAGACCAAGAGGCTGCTGCCACTGTGTGACTGTGGCCACAGGACTTAACCACCATGGCCCTTTGTTTGCTCTTCCTCAAAATCAGGACAATGCCTGCTTTGTGGAGTTAAAAAATTAGGGAAAAGGCATGAGAAGTGCCTAATATGGTACTGAGCATATGTGGGTTTTGTTCATGACAACACATTACTGGTCCCAATATTACCATCATGGCTAATAATACTCCTCGTACTTGCAGTACTATTTCTGATAATGTCATTATTATGAAATAAAGTATTTTCCATTTTTGCCCACCTTCAGCTTTATGCTAGACACATTAAATATGGTCCATCAGTTCCTACAATGACGTTGGCCCTATTCCCATTCCACAGATGAGAGAGCCAACGCTCAGGAAGGAGCAGGGACAAACCCAAGGCCACAGAGCTAAGTGGCAGCACCTGGTTAACTTGAAAGTGTATCCCCTCAACACCTGGCTATGCTGCTCTAGTGAGGCCAAGTCAGTTAAGGGGTGAAAAGAAGCCACAGTGATGCCTTCCGGACTGCAGGAAATCTGAATTTCATAACCACCTCCCTCCCGTCCTTTTCTCCTTGCCCACCCCTTTCCAGTCGCTACTGGCGTCGGTGGAATCGATTCTGCAGAAGAAAGTGTCGTGCCGCAGTCAAGTCCAATGTCTTCTACTGGCTGGTGATCTTCCTGGTGTTCCTCAACACGCTCACCATTGCCTCGGAACATTACAACCAGCCCCACTGGCTCACAGAAGTGCAAGGTGAGCAGCAGCCCCCAGCGCCGTCCCAGTATGCGCTAGCCACCTCAGCCCTGAATCCCAGGGAGGGCAGCGCAGGCAGAAGGCGGATGGGAAAGCAGCCAGTGGCCACAGCCCTTGTCAGGTGCCATGCCAGGAACACCAAGGGCCCGGCAGCTTGCAAGCCTCACAAGAAAATGCACAACCTCATTGTAAACAGGTGTGGCTCGCCTGGCTGGGTCCACACCATCTGCCTACCCCAACAGTCACTGTTGGATCCAGGTGACAAGGACACATGCTGCACCTTGTTTGGCTATCTCAGACCCTTGGCTGCCAACCTTCCAGAAAGGATTTTCAAATTTTCAGTACTTCAGGTTTTACTGTTGCCTCCAGGTATACATGGAGGTAAGGCCAGGTGGGCTTGCAGGGCATGTGAGGACAAGGTGAGCAAAAGGCAGGGGAAAGGACCGCAGTGGCCTAAGCACAGGGAGCTTTCCTTGTTGGGTGCCTTTCCTTGTTAGTGCCTGCACCCTTCCCTGAAGCTTGAGGAGAGGAGCTCACTAGCCAGCGCCCCAGCCCCACTCCCAGGGAGTCAGGCAGACACAGAGGCCACGTTCAAGGCTTCCCGACCTGGCTGATTGGCTTGGGTGGATTCCTCGTCTGTCTGAACCTCACTTCTTACATCTGAAAAATGGGCTTGATGACAATAATACCTACCTCACAAAGCTGCTGTGAGGAGTGAAGAAAATAAGGCAGGCAAAGCCTGTGTAGTAGATACAGTAGTCACCCCTTATTCTCACCTCAGCTTTCCAAAATTTCACTTACCTGTGGTCCGTCATGGTCTGAAAATATTAAATGGAACATTCCAGAAGTAAACAACTCATCAGTTTTAAAATGGCACACTGTTCTGAGTAGTAGGGTGAAATTTTGCCCTGTTGGGGTATTCGCGTATAGGAAAAAATGCAGTCTATGCCGGAGTCAGCGCTACCCATGGCTTCAGGCATCCACTGGGGCTCTTGGCATGTATCTCCCATGGATAGGGGGGAACTATGATACTTGTTAAATATTTGTTGTGATTACCACTAGATACCTTTTCTTGTGGATTTGGCCCTAATTGTTCTGTTTTAGTGGCAGTGGATGGGAGAGGTGTCCTGACTGGGAAGGTAGAGTCTGGTTGGTCTGGGTTTTTCCCCAGTGGTGATAATTGCTGTGTTTTGTTTCTCCTCCTCCCCTTTTCCCTCCTTCACACCGTTTGGATCACACCCCACTCCTGAACCTGCCAGACACAGCTAACAAGGCCCTCCTGGCCCTTTTCACTGCGGAGATGCTGCTCAAGATGTACAGCCTGGGCCTGCAGGCCTACTTCGTGTCGCTCTTCAACCGCTTCGACTGCTTCATCGTGTGCGGGGGCATCCTAGAGACCATCCTGGTGGAGACCAAGGTCATGTCTCCCTTGGGCATCTCTGTGCTCCGATGTGTTCGGCTCCTGAGGATATTTAAAATCACCAGGTATCTCCCCCCAGACACGGGACTCAGGGCGAAGTTGTCACAGAAGGTAGGGAGGCAGAACGGCCTGGGCAGGAGAGTAGCAGCAGTGTTTCTAGATGGGTCTGTCCTCAGCCCATACAGTAAGGGGAGTTTTGATTCATTTAGCTGGCATATCAGTTAGAAATCCCTTTGACTGCTAATTTCAGAGACTGTGATGTGAACAAATTCTGGATTTGCTCAGTTACATGAGGGAAGTCCAGAGGTGGGCAGCCCAGGTGGCTTCCAGAAGGCATTGGGACCCAGTCTCCTGTTCTTTGCTTTGTCAGCCTTAGGCCTGCCTTCCACCTCATGGTCACAAGGTGGCCTCTGGGGACTGAGCCGTCATGTTCAAATTTGAGGCAAGAAAAAGCGGGGATGGATGAAGGGGACTCCTATCCCACTGGGTCAGCTCCTTCCAGTGCTCCCCCAGAAATCTCTCCAAAAGCTCTGCTCTCATGGCCACCCAGCGGTGAGAGAGGCACAAACGTGGTCTGTAGCTGGGCATGGGATGCCGCAGGTGCAGCCAAGATTCCTTAACTGAAGAAGGGTGATGGATATTGCTGCACAGATGGCTTTCATCCTTCCTTCCACACGTTCACCCCTCTCCATCTGTCTGTCCATCTGCCCACCCAAAGACTGCAGTCTCCTACCTCTTCAGGTCAAGCAGGGATTCTTGTGTAGAGGACAGGCAGGAGCCAGGGACGGGCAGTGGGAGGCACGCTCCAGGACAGTGATTTTCAGCTGTGTTGTGACCTATGTGGGAAGATGAAATCCATTTATTTTATCACAAACATCATTTCTGAACAGCTATAGTGATATATAATTCACATACTAATAAATCCACCCTTTTAAAGTGCACAATTTATTTTTATATGTATTCAGAGGTTTGCAACCATCTCGTTTTAGACCATTTTCATCACTCCAAAAGGAGACCCTATCCACTCCTCATTCCCCGTCCTTCGCTCCCAGCAGCAACCACTGTCGCTTTGCCTCTTCCGGACAGTTGGCCTACATGAACTCATGCACTGCCTGATGTTTGTGTCTAGCTTCTTTCACTTGGCATAATGGTTTCAGGTTTCCCCCACTTTGTAGCATGGATCAGTACCTCGTCCCTCTCTATGACTGAATAACACTCCATTGGATGGATATATATCCGATTTTATTTATTCATTCCTCAGTTGGTGGACATTTGGTTTATATCTCCATTTTGGCTCCATTTGGTGGATAATGCAGCTATGAATAACTAACATTCAAGTTTTTATATGGATGTATGTTTTCATTTATCTTGGATATATATTTAGCAGTAGAATTTCCAGGTCATTTAATAACCCTGTTTAAACTTCTAAGGAAACGTCGAACTATTTTTCAGAGACTAGGCCACTGTATATCCCCATCAGTTGTATAAAGGTTCCAGTTTCTCCACGTTCTTGTTTTTCATGAAAGAATGAAATAGAATAAGAAAACATCAGAAGGCCTCATGTGAATGTGTGCACTAAAAATCTTTGAGGTAGATATACATCACTGTGGCTATAGTCAACCTTAGAGGGACATGTTGGAAACAGCTAGAAGGGAGCGGGGTCAAACTATGCCCCCCAGAGGTACAGTCCCCCTCTCCTGTAGAATCTCTGCTTTGTAGCCTGACTGGTAACAGGAGCATTGAGACCATCATTTGGATTGTGTTAGAAGAAGGGGTTGGGGTTGGTTATCTTCCATCCAGGGACCTGGAGTTAAGCAGACCCTCCAGAGAGTATTCTGAACGTGCCTGAGTGAGGCATCGGGGTCCTACAGAGCATCCCGAGGTATCACTGTTCTCTGCAAAGTGCTCTCAGCAACCACCCCACACACGCTTGTTCCTGTGGTGTTGCTGAGGGTCAAATAGAAAAAAGTGTTTAAAGTGTTCGCTTCAGTGCCAGGCACAGGAGACACTCAACAGCCAGAGCATTTTTTACTACTCTAATTATAATCTTTGTTATTAGGAGAAGGAAGAAGGATAAAAGAGTTCATGGTGGTCTACATACAACACTCTCTACTTTTCTTTAGCCACCATGTAAACTCTGTGTCAAGCCCTGCTGTGGGAATTGGGAGCAGGAGAGCACCCCTGGGGAAGGTTTAACATCAGATGATGGACTCAAAGTATGGGCAGTACTTAAACCCACAAGTTTAACACCCCTGAACAACAACCACCCCCAATAAAAGAGCTCTTTATGAATGTCCTGAATATATTGGCATTACAGATAATTCTTGGTTTAAAATAAAAGTAGTAGAAATAGAAAAACAGTCATTAACATGCATCAGTGCTGATTCTGTGCCAGGTAGTGTGGTTGAACTCTCATGTGCTCTTGCTCCATTAATCCTCACAACTACCTGCAAGAGAGGGTGAGGACAGACTACTTTGTCATTATCCCCATTTTGCAGATGAGGAAACAGTGGCTTAGAGAGTTAAGTCACTTGCGCAAGGCCACGCAGAGTGCTCAGGGGCAAAGCTGGAATTAAAGGCAAGTGTGTCTGCCTGGCTTCAGGTTCTGTGCAGAGTTGATGGCTCAACCGTCTTGTTGTCTATGTCCCTGAGGCAGGACCTAAGAGATTTTTAACATACAGATTTTTGTTGTTAGATAATTGCTGATTCTAATTTCTCCTCCTGGGGTGTGGTGATAGCTATTTTTAATTTGGAGTTTCTAGTGCATCTTAAACAATTCTCAAAAGTCCATGTGTTCAGGGTATTTTGTTTGTTTTTTAAATTCCTATAGAGAAGAACTTTTGCTCCTAGAGATTGTCATTGCATCTTGAAGAGATTTATCATTCATTCTATTTTTAATCAACAATTTTTTCTAATCTGAACCTATTGCCAAGAAATTATTTTTTAAATCTATCTTTATCAGAGCGCCTCCCATAGTCCTTCCATGAGAAAGATTAGTGTTATTTTCAGATCTCTATACACTCTATAAACAGAATAATTTCATTATCTAATGGGAAGCACTTTGGCAAAGGCCATCATCTTCCTGTTTTCTGGTCTCCAAACCCTCTGGAGGCTTTTGGAAAACAACAAAAAGACTAACTATGCAGGGGAATCCCATGCTCCCTCTGAACCTTGTCTTTAATACAGCCCCAGAGACCAAGAAAATGCCTACATTATGGAAAGCGGTTGGGGGGGGGGCGGTCTGGGGTCCCTTGAGGTGGGTCATCTGTGCATGGTCCTGCCATTAAGCAAGTATATTTCTCCTTCCTCTTTTAAAATCTCTCAGAGACTACTTTGCGATGTTTCGCTACTGTTTTTCACAGTGTACTCTGAACCAGTGGCTGTGATTCTCAGACTTAGTTGAACCCATTAGGAGGTCTCATTAAAGACCCCACCTCTAGAGATTTTGACCAGCAGCTGGAGAGTTTCGTGCTGGTGGTCCAGTGCCCTCGTTCTGAGAAATACTGGCCTAATTTTCTGCTGCTGTCCTTTGTCCACATTTTTGCCTAAAAAGATGAACCTTTTTGTATCATTGGAAACCTTGATTCTTACATCTTCGCTCTCTTCTCTATACTGTAGCCCCTAATGATGTTAAGATTGTACTTCTGATCATTCTTGACTGAGAACACATGATAAAGAACTACTATGAATTCAGCAGTTTTTGAATTAATATGAATTTATTAATTGCTACCCACCTGTATATATTTGAAGGGTGATAGTGTCAATTCAAGCTATTTATTTAGAGAGCCATAATGTTTAGTGTATGCATGGATTCATGGATCCCATCCTATGGTTCCAAGCTGCCCCACTTCCCGCACCCAGGCCTTTGGTCTGAGAGCTGAGAATACTGGTCCAGACCAGTGGTTCTCACCCATGATGACATGACACAACAGTCTGTCCAGAGCAGATTTGTGATGAGGTAAAATATTAAAATTTGTGGTTTTCCCTCTCAAAAATTAAACACAAATAAATTCAATATTGTTCTTGTAACACCGTTCCTCTTGGTCACTTGCCTTCCCAAAAGCTTTTTTGACTGGACAAGAACAGGGTGGGCTTACCACCCACCCATGCTGCCTGAAGGGAGTCTGGTATATGATGAACATGAATGTGGCATATGCAGAAAAGGAATTATTGGTGTGCTTACATTTTTGTGTGTGTTTTGTGAAAATCTGCGAATGACTTAGGAAGTATACTGTGCATGTGAGTGTCATCATCCTATGTGTTTCATTTAAAAACAAAAAAACAAGAACAAGACTAGGAACCCTGTACTAGGCTACAAGTCAATTGATTACTCACAGTAATCATAGTAATATTAGTGAGTACTCATAGTGCTATTAGTGAGAAGTTCCAGAATAGGAAAGAATAGGGAAGACACAACTTCAACCTCAGGGAGAACAGAGAGGCACGCATGTGGCCAAAATTTTTGTTGTCTTTGGGTAATTTACCCATGACAGTGGACCTTTGGCCACCTTTTGGACTGGGTTCCTTCTCTTTGATGGAGCTCTAAATGTTGCTGAGTTTTGATGCCTCGTCTGTCAACTCTTTGTCAGCCCTGTCTGATAGAGGGGAAGTAAGAAGAGATTCAGTTAGATTAAATCTAGATGTGATCCCAATTTACTTACTATACCTCCTTTTTTTATACAATTGGTTTTTAAATGCACCAAAGTCCCTTCAGCCACCTCTGCCGTTTCCCTTCCTTAAATACCCTTTCTCTTACTGCTTTCCTCCTGAGGCTCCCTTCCCTAACCCTGACATATGCAGTACAGGGGCTGTCTGGGGGACACTGAGTGGCTAGAGCACCCTCCGAAAGCAATCCGAAGGTGGAGGCCAGTCCGCCTTGCCAGCTTGACCGGGTCACATTCCCCCATGTACGTTCTGTTGTCAGTGTGACCGAGGCCTCTGATGCAAACAGGGAAGGAAGACTTTTGAATTTGTTATCCAAGGCAGGGTTTAACTCTAAAGTGAAACCCGTAAAATGTGCCTCTCCCCAGAGTGGAGGGGCAAGGCTAGGTGTCAGCCAGAACTT